CACACTTGCCTCATGCTAGGCCTCATGCTAGGCCTTGTAGCTGGCACTGGGTGAGAGCACAGCAATCCTAGCCTCAACACCATTGCCATCTCTTCAGCTACAAAGCCACCCTTAAGCCTATGGTCAACGACGTCCAAGAGCTTTGCTTCCTTGAAGCACTTCCACACCCAATCTACCAAAATGACTTCGACAGACAACCTCTGTGGCTCGACTGTTCTACGCCCACAAGCCGCCTCAAGCAGCACAATGCCATAAGAGAAGACGTCAGAGTAAGTAGTGTACTTGCCAGTACGAGACACCTCGGGTGCAAGGTAGCCCAGGGTTCCCACGACATGTGTTGTATGCATGTCAGATCCATGCTCATATACCCGTGCTAGCCCAAAGTCTCCTAATCGACCGTTCATATCTGCATCTAACAAAATGTTGCTAGCCTTCACGTCTCTGTGTACTACCACTTGTTCCCATTGCTCGTGTAGGTAGAGCAACGCCGAGGCGATACCCTTGAGGATGTTGTGCCTTTGCTCCCATCCTAAAACAGGAGTGCTTTCATTGAACAGGTGCTTGTCGAGGCTATTATAGGACATGTAGTCATAGACAATTAGTAGCTCTGTTTTTTGCTTGCACCATCCTAGTAGTGGCACGAGGTTCCTGTGTCGTAGTTTCCCGATGCTGGAGATCTCTGCCAAGAAGTCTCTTAATCCTAGCTCTGAATTATTTGCCACACGTTTAACTGCAACTTCTATCCGAGAGCCTGGCATTACTCCTCTATAAACCTTGCCAAAGCCCCCGGATCCCACCAGCTCTTCCTCTCTGAAATCTTTGGTGGCCTCACAGAGCTCCTTGTATGAGAACCTATGGGGTCCATATTCCAACTCCCAGTCTTCCACAATCTCCTCATCCCTTTGCCTTTTAGTAAGGTGTATGATCATCGAGATGGCTGCCATGGCTAGGATTACGGAAGATAGAGAGATCCCAATCTTAGCAACCATGGGAAGCCCTCTAGATGATTTGGCTTTAGGGTATGGAGGAAGAAGAGAGAGATCCAAATCTTGAGCTCTACCATTTATCGCGAAGCTCCATCCCAAAACGTAATGGCCACTTGCAAATAGACCTGTGCTTGCGGAGAAACCCACATACATTGACTCTTGTAGGATGGGGGAGAGATCTACCTTGGAAGAAATCAATGGCTGGCTGGGTCTTCCTGCTGCTTTGACAGGAAACAGAGTTACATTGAGCAGCTTCTCTATGCCATGATACTCTATCCATACCTGAATCGGGTCTCCACTTTTGAGATTTAGATGATTTTTGGTGGTTTGGTTATCTTCTGTGATGTAATAAGCTGCAGAAGCCGACATATTAGACCTCAAGCTGTTTAGGTCGATGCCGACGTGGTTATCATCAATGTCTTTTAAATCTACGTTATCGTGGGTGTCGAATTCCACAGCAAAAACTTTGTTTTTCGGGTCGCCATCTCCTGTGATGCCAAAGAGTCCAAGATATTGTGCACTTATGGCTCCTCGGAAGTCAGTAGAAGGAGAGATCACAAATGCAAGACCATTAGCTGCTCTTATAATGGGCAGAGTGATAACAAAGACAAAGGTTGTTGAGAAAGAGAGAGCATTTCCTCTTGAAGAGTTTTTGAAATTCAAGTGGGTAGGATAGAAGGCATGGCCCAATACTGATAGGGAACTATTTGTTACTTGCAGTGCTCCTCTAGGCATGATCTCTGCAACACCATCTAACCTCAATTTTGCTCCATGAAAGTTTGAGTAATTGAAGCTACTGCTATATGAGGTAGAGGGGCTGATAACAAGAAAGAGCAGTAAAATTTGGAGCAGCATTTTTGTTCTCTTGGGCTTAGGGAAGCAAGAATGAGTCAATGAATTACTGGTTTCACTTAAGTAGGAAGAAGGAAAGAAGTTCATGGAGTAATTGGATTTGGAGGGTGCCTAAAGTCGTTTTTGATGGTTTGTGGAAGAAATGAGGGAGGGAATGAATTGGGTCTGATTATTTCATATTGCCGCATATCCATATCTTCTTTTGATGTGGACATGGTAAAGTCAGCTCACCGCAAGACTTTGACATCTCTCTCCTTTGACAAGCCTAATTATTTTGAGAAAAGTATGCTATGTGACTCTCATCAACACCTTCCATTTGCAATAATGGGTGGTGGAGATGATGACTGCAACTTAGTGTGGTGGTCCCGGACGGGAACCAGTGTTTTAAAAATCGCCCAAGTCATTTTGAACTGCCTGAGCCGGCCTGAAAACCTTAGCGTGGCAGTTTTAGTCTGCAATCTCCCGGTTTTCTACTGGTTTTCACTGGTTTATCTGTTTGTCCATTCTCAATTTTTGCCAGAAAAAGCACAAGAAAACCTGTCAACCAACCCAGACGGTTTGGCGACTCGAAATTGGTCCATGACCGTTCAGCTTCAGCACTCCGGTTCGGTTATCAAAAGATTGGCTATGCCCATGGATTGTATTGGCTTTGAATCACAGTATCTTCTCTCCCAATGTGTAAGCAAAATTGCATGTGGTGTTTGAATGAATCAACGATTAGAAAATACCAAAGGACCATTCAAAGATGCCAATGCGTTGCTTAAGTTGAATTCAATGGAAGACTATAGAGTCCTGTGAAATAACATTAAAAATATAAGCACTATGAAGGCCTTTGATTTGAACTTATCACTAACAGCTCTTAGGTCATGGTTCTTCAGTTACGGCTAACGCATGAACCATCTAATAAGTCCAAACTGTACATCAGACCGTTCTTAAGTGATAAATCCTCCGTGAATTAGGGGTTTTCTTTTTGTTTTCTTTGTTTTGTTTTTTTAGAGTTTGTGATTTATCTCCATATTCATTTCAGTAAGGTAGACCATTGGATATTAACAATAATCCGGTGAATGTTGATGACCGATAATTAATTACGTTGGTCTCAACCAGTGTAGAAAAAATCGGGCGCTTAGAATTCTAACTTCCCTGTTAATCGGAATCAGGCACAGGCCGGAATTGGTTTCGACCGGTTTTGGTGAACCAGCCGGCTATTTAAAAAAAATTCAAAAAAAAATATAAAGTCCCCAAAATAAGGGATTTTGTTTGTAATGTATTTTTTAATGTTTTTCATCATTTTAGAAAACATTGAAAAAAAAATTTGCCCATATTTATTTTTACATTTTTCTATCTTTTTTTTAGAAAATATTAAAAATACCCCGGGACACAAATTGATTATTTAAAATCCATTATTTCATTAATTTTCAACTTCATTTGGATGTGCTTTGTTTAATCATGCTTTAAATATATCTATTTTTGCATTTTTTTTTTTTATAACACTTGTTTGACCTCCTGAGACTTGCCCAGATAGGCCGGTTGAATTGCTTCTAGCCCATCCCATTAACCATTCCGGTTCGATTTTTCCTACACTAGTCTCAACCAACTATTGGGAACCATTTATTGACAATGTTGGATATAAATAAATAAAAAGTTTATATGAGTTTGGGGACATCCTCAAATGTAAAATTAATGTGCACCTCTAAAATCCTACAATATGTTTTGATATTGCAAAAATATGTAATTGATCATTTTGATGTATATCTTACCAATAGTACATCTTGCAACACCTTATCTGGAATGTCTATTTTATATATTTTTATGCATTATAGGTATGCTTGATTTTGGATTTTAAACTTTTATAATTAGATATAAAAATAAATTCTCACACCATCCTAAGAAATATCGAAACTAAAATTGCATCTTTGAAGGTGCATATGGAACCTTATGCAAACCATACCTCATAAATGATAATAAAATATTTTTGTTGGGCACTCTATTTATTGTTAATTTTTTTTCAGTTCTTTGTTAGGTGCTTTATTTGGTTTTTAATTCTTTGATTTGGAGTCATCCTTGGGATGCTTTTAGGTGTTTGATCGGAGAGGCTTTAGTTCCAATAATATATTTCATCAGACTATACATTTCATCAGACAATATATTTCAGAGGCTTTAGTTCCAGTAATATATTTCATCAGACTCTATATTTCTATGTACCCAATCGGCCCCAATAGATTGTTTACCCCACCGTAATATATGTGTTATTTTTATTTTGAACCTTACAATAAAAGAGAGGGGGTTTTTACTACAAGACCATTTACTTTTTGTATAATGAAATCATAATCATTCCCAACAAATGGAAGTTAAATTTCATATCTAATAGTCAATAATAATTGTGATATCTCTATTCTAAAAACAATTACACATTAACTACCACTCGATTTCACATCTAATAGTCAATAATAACTGTGATATCCCTACTCTTAAAACAAATATTCTCATCCACGACATTTCTTCTCTAGGAAAAGTATTTATGCTTTTATGATTAGGTAAAGGGACAAGTTTATATAGAGCCGAGGCTCTAAACAATCAAATTTAAACCTACCTCAAAATTTTCACCGGAAGAGGTTGCTTTGATGCCCAAATATCTTTAATTTGATCATCTCAACATCAAGATGCATGGATATGAGAAAAAAATAAATTTTATGTTTTGGAAATCGTGTATTTTATAACGTATTTTTGGACAGTCAATTTTAAATATTTCAAGCGTTCATAGATCTGTCAAGCTACACTATTTTTGAAGCTTTAAACTTTACAACTAAATATAATATATATTTTAAGGCTATAACAAAGATTCACAGTATTGAAACCACATTTCTCAACACTATTTAAAGGTAGGCTCTAATTTGATTGTTTAGATCCTAGGCTCTATACAAACTACACCCTTAGGTAAAAGTGTATATAAGGGTGAGGCCCTAAACGGTCATATTAAGGCACACCTCAAAAATTTATAAGAAGAAGACATTCCAATACCCACAAATCCTCAAATTGATCATCTCAAGCTCAAGATGAACAGACACGAAAAAATATGGATTTCATGCCTTGAAAATAGTGCATCTTGTAATGCATTTTTTGACCTTCAATTTTGAATATTTTCAATTATTTATAGATCATCTTGATCTACACTATTTTTTAAACTTCAAAGTTTATATTAGATATGAAAATAAATTTCAGACCATCACAAAGATTTCCATCATTGAGACGACAACTTTCAACACCATTTGAAGGCACTTCTTACTTTGATGGTTTAGGGCATTGGCCTAATACATACCACACGCTTATGATTAATGAACAATGATTTCATGCAACTGTATAGTAATATGATGCAACAATTTTAAAAAATCATTTTATGGGTATTTTTTTATCTAATTTTGAAATATACCCTCTTTTCATTTTAATGAACAATCACAAAAAAAGAAAAAAAAAATTGAAAATACAACATATAAAGTATTTTGTTAGTCCGATTAACTGTTCATTTTGTTGAGATGCTTAGATCTTAGGACTTAAAAGGATTTTTTCATTTCCAATTTTTTTGGATGGTTTTATTATTATTAGATGAACAATATTAAAAAATAAAAAAATAATTATTGAATTCACAAAGATTAAAATTTTGAAATTTATAAAAACGAATGGTCTATATTCATTTTTTAAAAAGATTCATTTTTAAACGCATAAGGTGGAAGCACTCGTTGCATGCGTGCGGGCACAAATGGCGGAAAAAGTGTGCTGTATGACCATCATCCAAAATGTCAAAGATGCGAATTATAATAGGCGGCAATAACAGTGGCACAAAAGGTCTACTACACGCATCTTGAGGAGGATCCAAAGAAGGCTGCCTTAGTCTTTGCATATCTTACCGTAAGTCACGAGTCAGGTCACATTTCCTATTTTTCGCCTTCTTGTGGTTTCAATTAATGCTTCTACCGTTTGGTGAGGAAAGTCTTCGGATTTTTTTTAATTTAGTGTAAATAAATTAGATATTTATATGTAAACTATATATAAATAATGAAAATTTTCAATTTAAAAAAATTAAAAAATATAGTTATATAGCTATATTTTTGGTTGGCTGAAGCAAACCCGAAGCGATCTGAATTTGACCAAAGCAGCCCGAAACCGTCCGAATCTAACCGAAAGGGCAGCACCACACTTTGCTTCTCTTCGGTTTATACCTAAAATCCAAAAGCTTCGACCTCTTTGGCCGAAGCGAAGTAAATTTGATAACATTGGATTCAATCTTTTCAAAACCACTAGTTGGGGCGAGCAGTGTCGTGTACTGTAGCAGAAATTTTTTAAAAAAATTATAAAAAATATCTAGTTAAAGTAAAATATCAAGCAAAAGATATCAAGGTTAAAAAAGTAGTAAAAAATAGATTTAAAAAAATTAACTTGTAATTGAGAATATTTTTAAAATAATCCAAAGAAGAAGAAAAAATATAAAAATAAATATTTATGGTCAAAATATTCTCCAATTTTTGCCAAAATGATAGAAAACATAAAAAAAAACATATCATAAATAAGTTGGCCTGAGTACCCGGGACTTGGACATTCTAGTCAAACACTGATCAATACTTACCGTATGTTTTATTGGGATTGTACACTATGAGCCTTTTTAATTTTTTTTGTATAGGGAGGTCACAACAATCTAGAAAATTTATTTTGTACATTGTTCTTAGACAACTACACACCCACAATTACCTTATTTAAAATCTAACATCAACGATGATTGTAACTTCTTTGTATCAAAAGTAAATGAAGACGAGTCTTTCTAGTAATGGGGCCAAGGGACTGATATGATGATTGGTTTAGGTAGGGCGGTCGGCGGGCCTGCAAGGAAGGATCGCCACGAGCAGAGCAAGAGAACGAAGTGGACTATGGTGACGTCGGAATTTACACGTATCCATATCTATTTAGTGATCAATCTGCTAGTTTCTTGATCCCACCCGATGCTCCTGGAACCAGAGGACCGCCCCTTCTCCTTCGCTCCATGGCGGCCGGCCACCGCTGGCTCGGTTCTACTCATTAGACCCAGATAAAGAGGCGGGATCGAAGCATACATTTTCTTTTTCATTAAGTGCCTTTTAAAACATTTTTGTATAAACATTTTGTGTTTTATTAATTTATTTTGTGGAACATTTTCTTCCATTTGCTCATTATCTTTCAGCATTATCTCTTATTCTTTGTTGACTTTACATTTTTGCATTCTTCTATATGCATTTTAAAGAAATTTTCAATGAAAATTAAGAATTTGGAAACCTCCCTAAAAAATATTTTACGCTTTAAAACTCATGATTTAACGCTCATATGAACTATAATTCTCAAAATTTAATCCCCTGGTTCAAAAGTTTTTGCTACATTTTGGTCATTTCATATTGGAATAAGACATTCATCTTTTTCTCTAAGAAATCCATTGCTTGAAATACTCCCTTGCAAATTGTTGCCATTCATGCATCATATGCCTTGGATAAAGTTTTCCTTTTTTAATATCCCTTTTTCTGCTTCTTTTTTAGTTGGGTATGAAGGTCCATGAGTTTTCATGTGTAGTTCATATGTGATGAGACTCGCTCTGCAGCACCACAATATGTCTCATATCTTTGGTAATGTTCTACTGTCATAGCCATGAATCTTTAGGGTCAGTATGCCTGCAAATTACTTCATGCCTGGCTTTAATTTTTATTATGTAAGCACAATGTTAGCATAATAACAAACAATAGATCAAATGCTAATTCATATAGAACAGAGCAAAACCCTTTTTTTCTCAGAGTTTAGTTGAGCTGGCCTTGCGGTCCAATAGAGGATCCATTCTTATGAACTTCCTCTGAAGTCTCATGAACATTTCTATTGTACACATTGCAATGATAGTAAAAAATGACAGGGAAAAAGAAAAACAAAGAGTGAATTTAGGTAGATAAAAATGCATATCAACGACCTCCAGATAACCGAAATTCAGTGCCTGCAGAACTGCTGATCGGATGGTGGTCGTGGGAAGATGTTTCCGAGGGCAAATAATGGTTGTCTTCCTTCTCGGGTACAACCATTTCGCTCGCCGAAATCTCAGGGAATGGGACATCACCGTCCAAAATTTGGCACACTTGCCTCATACTTGGTCTGGCAGTAGGCACTGGGTGAGAACACCACAAACCTAATCTTAACACCATTGTCATCTCTTCAATTTCAAAGCAACCTTCAAGCCTAGGGTCAGCAACATCCAAGAGCCTTCCTTCCTTAAAGCACTCCCACACCCAATCCACCAGAACAGCTTTCGGCGACCCCTGTCGCTCAATTGGCCGACGCCCACAAGCCACCTCTAGTAACACAGCACCATAAGAGAACACATCAGACTCGGTGGTGGCCTTCCCAGTGCGGGACAACTCAGGTGCCAGGTACCCAAATGTCCCCACAACACGGGTTGTTTGCAAGTTCGATCCACGCTCGTACAACTTTGCGAGCCCGAAGTCCCCTAGCCGAGCATTCATATCTGTATCTAACAGCACATTGCTGGCCTTCACGTCTCTGTGTATAACTACTTGCTCCCATTGCTCATGCAGGTACAACAGTGCAGTAGCCACACCCTTGAGGATTTTACACCGCTGCCTCCAGCTTAAGGGTGGCCCATCATCACCGAACAGGTACTTGTCGAGACTACCACGGGGCATGTACTCATAAACTATTATGAGCTCGGTTTTCCTCTTGCACCATCCGAGGAGTGGCACCAGGTTCCGGTGCCGTAGGTTGCCGATGCTTGAGATCTCTGCAAGGAATTCTCTCACCCTTTGCTCTGATTCATGCGCAACTCGCTTCACTGCAACTTGCAGACCTGAGTCTGGCATTACACCTCTGTAAACCTTGCCAAACCCTCCGAATCCTATTAACTCTTCGTCTTGGAAAGCCTTGGTTGCCATAGTGATTTCCTTGTATGAGAACCTATGGGGGCCATATTCCAATTCCCAGTCTTCCACAATTTCCTTGTCTGTTCGCCTTCGAACAAGGTATACAATCACAGAAATGGCTGCGATCACAAAGATAATAAAAGAAAGTGAGATCCCAATCTTAGATACCATGGAAAGCCCTTTATTAGATGATTTTGATCTCGGGTACGAAGGAAGAACAGAGAGATCCAAATCTTGAGCTCTGCCATTTATCGCAAAGCTCCATCCCAGAAGGTAATGGCAGCTTGCCACTACGCCCGTGCTTGCAGAGAAGCCCACATACATGAACTCCTGCAGGATCGGGGAGAGATCAACCCTGGAAGAAATCAAAGGCCGGCCGGTCCTTCCCGCTATTTCAATTGGAGATAGAGTTATATTGAGTAACTTCTCCATGCCGTCATATTCAATCCATACCTGAATTGGGTCTTCACTCTTGAGACTTAGATTATGTTTGGTGGTCTTATGATCCTCTGTGAGGTAATAAGCTGCAGAAGCCGATACATTGGACCTCACGCTATTGAGGTCGATGCCCACATGGTTGCCGTCAATGTCTCTTAAGTCGATGTTCTCGACAGTGTCGAATTCGACTGCAAAAACTTGGTTTTCAGGGTCGCCACTTCCAGTGAGGTTAAAGAGTCCCAGGTACTGTGTCGAATTGGCTTCTTCGAATCGAGTAGAAGGAGAGATCACAAACGCAAGACCAGCACCTGGGAAGACAATGGGAAGGGTGATGGCAAACACAAAAGCTGCAGAGAAAGAGAAAGCACTTCCTGTTGAGGAATTCTTGAATTGCAGGAGCTTGGGGTAGAAAGCATGGCCTATCACTTGTATAGAATTATTGGTTAGCTGTAAGGCTCCACTTGGTATTACCTCTGCATCACCATTTAAGCTCAAGTTTTCTCCATGGAAGCTTGAGTAGTTGAAGGCAATGTCATATGAGGAAGAGAGGTTGATTGCAAGAAAGAGAAGCACAGCTTTGAGCAACATTTTTGTTCTTTTGGCCACAAAGAAGAAGACGAAAATGCAAAAATGTGGGTTTTGTTGAGATAGAAAGAAGGCCATGGAAGACATGAGTAGAATATTTTAGACCATGGAAAACAACACGTACACTATACTCCTGCAGGAGTACAATGTACATTTACTCCTTTAGTCTAATGACCTACTTCGGAGAGTCTTTTTTGAATTTTAAAATTTTGAGAACCACATGATAATCACTAAATGATTATTCTCAAATGGAAAAAAAAATTGACATTTAAATTTTCTGTCACTTAGATCTGGCCCTTTAATAATTACTTAATTTCTTTTCAATCGTGAGATGTTATTTATTCGAGTGCATAGAGGTGAAATTAAGATTTTTTTTTTTTCAATTGAAGTTAATCTATGGTCGAGGAGGCTACATCCAAAAATTTTGAGGTCCGAAAGATTGATGGGGTTTTACGCAATGGAACAAACAGTAGGCTCTCACAGGAGTATCGTAACTTTTGGCTTTAATCATTGCTCTATTTATTAAGTTCAATTCTTTTTGGGCTCATTAAATTTCAAAAAGGAGATTATAACAATAAAAAAGAAGAAGAATATAACCATTATAGAGAGGGTGAGGTTTGTACATGGTGTCAACCTTATGCTATTGAAATAAGTTGCACCTCATATGAAAATATGAAAATATGTTATTGTTATCAATTAGGAAATTTAAAGTTTAAAAAATGATGATGATCAAGCATGTCTATGAGCACTTAAAATTTTTAAAATAGACGGTCCCGATAATGTATTAGAAAATGAATTATTTGTAAGATAAAAAATCCATTTTTTTATGTCTATAATCCCGAGGTCGGATGATCTTTTGAAGGGTTTTCAATATAGAAACAACATTTTGTACTAGGTTTTTTAATGCACCTTAGTACATTACAAAGTTCACATCTCATGTAAACTTTTTTCTTGTAGAGAAGAAGCAATGAAAAGAACGAATACGCATCATACACAATTCAATGCTGTATGAGTATTTATGAGTGCGGAGAGTGGATATTGACTCTAAGTCTGCGGTCGTCCGAAGTGATGCGCCGCGGCCCACGGAGATTAGATATTGACTCTAAGGCTGCGGTCGTCCAAAGTGATGCGCCGCGGCCCACGATAACGATTAGTAACATGCTAACGTTTTAATCACGGCATTGTAACGCCACGTGTTTAAATGAGAGGACTCTTAAGAAAATATCTTGCCACCAATGAACGTGCCTGACTTGTAATGGCCGCCGCCTAGAAATATAAGAGAGTTTAGATGAGATGGTATCTCTTACCCACTGTATATAGGAACTATATATTAGGGTTATGTTAGGATGTTTACACTAAGTTATTAGTAACGGTATATACTATTAGGAGTAGAGTGTGGTTTTCTTGGACCATACTATGCAGACCATACTATTTTCTTGATCTTACATGTACTATTTATATAGTCATGCACAATACTATTCACAATAATATACATTTTCCTAATACTATTCACAATACTATTCATGTACACAATATTATTCACAATTGTAGTCCTCGTGACCACAAACTTATAAGCCCTTAGATACTATTACTTAACAATGTAACAAGCCAAAAAGCTAACAATCCTCCACCTTTTTCAAGATAATAAAACTCTCTCAAATTATCAACAAAGACAAATGCATACGTGAATGTGTCTTTCGTACTTGAACCTCCACGTTGTGTTATGAAGAACGCTTACCATGAGAGTGAGTGGAGGCACATTGAACTGTGTCCTTTAATGATAAGCCTTCCACATGCCGTGCATTTTCTTAAAAAATCCGGTTTTTAAAAGGCTTGCACATTTAAGGCCCTACGTCATTCCTGATTTTCATGCGCACTCTAGAGAATGCCCAATTTTTGTAGGAAGCAATATCTACTTCCACACTAATATAGGTGACTTTATAGAGAATACCCTGCATTGTGACATCCCAGCCTAGGCTTTACATCAACCTCCCCATTCATTGTAATAAAATTGTACCACACAAAGACAAATTTTTTATAAATTTATATAATGAGAAAGTATAGAATGAGACCATTTATCTTTGGTACAAGGTGGTCACATTAATCTTGACCATTGGATGTGAAATTAGGTAACTGCAATTATTCTATTGACCAAGTTCAAACTTCAAAAGAAATTTTCTCGAACTTTGTGACACATCCAAGGTATTAAATTTCACATTGGATGGTTGTATGTAATAGTAACTACCTTGTATCAAAAGTAAATGGTCTCATTGTATACTATCCCTTATATAATGTAATATTTTATGGTACATATCTATCTGACATCACACAAGTGACTTACCCTTTGAACCTTGAACTTAGGATCTTTTTGTCCTAGGGAGCTTTCCCATCATCTTACGGCATAAAACTTTTGGGCTCCATCTCATCCTTCTAGTTATCTTTCATACTTTGTTCCTTTGCCAATTCTAAGTAGTGTACATGAAGTATTGTTGTTACTCTATCTCAAACATAAGTCTCAACATACTGTGACTCGAGTGAGTATGATAGGATTTTTCAGAATAAATCACTAACCTTTCGCTTGGTATACAAAATCTCCACAGTCACATGAGATTGAGTCCGCAAAACCGCCTAATTATCAGATTCCAAACTCCAACTCTTTATGGACCTAGAGATACATAACTACTTAAAGGACTGGAGAAAATTACCCCTTGGAATTTAGAAAATACACTCCCACCAAATAAGTGACCGTTTGTCTAAAGAAAGTATCCTAAAGTCAGATGCCTCTTTTATTTTCCTGTAATTACAAGAAACTGAAAGAGGCATAATGAATGGTATGATACTTGTCTCACTTTGCCAATTTGAACGTACCTACGGAATTTTAATTTCGCGTCCATTTGCCACTTTTATTGGTAGAGATGAGGTAGTCCTCATATAAAATAATGTTATTTCCACACCATTTTGTAGGACCCAAAATATTCTTTAATTTAAAAAACATGTGTGTTGGCATTTGAGTCCATTCATCAAATAAAATTTCCCTTTACAATATTTATATCAGAGATTACAATAAACTATATTCATTGATCACATATGCCAGAGGCCTTTGCTTCTTTCAAAGCCTGTAAAAAACTAAGCACGACCGGATAATTCAGAAAGTCAACAAGTTCATGGCTAGCAGGCAGACTGTATTTGTCTATACATTATTTACCTTCCAAGTTCCCTAAGAAATTGGAACCTCTATTGTCATCTTAAAAGATGTGCATCATCAAAACTGATCTGACCTTACAGAATCTTGGTTTCCCATTTCATCTCCATAATTTAAAAAAACGTAGCACTTCAAATTGTTGGTTTTTATGGGGCTTTCACTATAATAAATTATATATTATAATGGATAAAATCTCCCAAGTTATCGAAACCAAATTAGGGGCTCTGGAGGCACGAGATGCTCTCGCTCTCTTCAAAGTGTTAAACGGCATCGTTTCGGTGAAATTCTGAGGTGCAAATGGGTCCCGACAAGTACACTCTCAAGATTCGGCCATATTGGAATGCAATTATATGAGTTGCACACTCATAAGACCCGTATAGAACCACAATTTATAAAACTAATATGCTTTTCAATTGATATAAAACCGTCAATTATCAATTGAAATTATGTTTTTCTCTCACTACAAAATTATTATTTTCTAAAATAAAATTATATTTTTTTATTAAAAACTATCATCCAATTAGTATACTATAGATACATTGATTTTGAACACTAAACTGATCTCACACCATAATGAAAATACTAATTGTAACAAAAAACCTGTTACTTGAAATTGCGTGGGTCTGTTGGGTGTATTTTCAGTCATCATACATGACTAAATACACTTTGATGTGCAAATGAACTTGAGGGCGCGACCATGAGATAAATATAAAACACGTGTCAAAATGATATCTTGGTATATGATGGATAAAATATGCAAACCCAATGGGAACGATTCTCGAATATATATACAAATATATGCTCCTGATATGGAAAACAAATATGATATATCTAGGACACATCATATGAAGGCCTGCATATGGCTTCAGAGTCCTAGTTGTCAGTTAACCCATGTATGCCCGGGCCAATGACTAAAGATAGTGAGAGATGTCAAACTATTGTAATTCAAAACATATTATGGGATACATATACTCACAATGCCAATATATACCTCTCTACATGTTATTAGAAGAATTGGATGCAGTACAATATACTTTCCAATCCGTCGTCAGTCAAGTATGTGCATCTTGGCTAACGACTGATCATAAGAGATCATCAAGCCATCTCAATTTGAGACAAGCTCTGGGATACATATAATTCGAAAGCCAATATATGCCTCTCCATATGATATCAGAAGAGTTTGATGCAGTACGATATGTCTTTTGAATCTGTCAATGAAGGAGTATTTGACAAACAAAGCATAAGAAAACCTCACCATATGATATGACGATGAGGTGTATCCTTGCAAATATATTTCATGAGGCCTTGTTTGCCTCTAGTCTAATAATCACACAAATTAGACATCATTCGGAGTTAGCTTAACCTATCATCCGTATTTCATTGGCGGATATGCTTTGATTGACAACCCCAAATTTGATATTTTGGGGATTGGTCCGAAACTCTTGGAAAGTCATATATGAAGCATTATATCCCTCATCTTGAAGTTTCACATCATTCGGAGTTGGTGTAACCCATCATCCGTATTCATCAGCAGCCAGGTTCTTATGTGTCGTCTACCAGAAGATAACTAGGATGACTTCCGGGCATTAAAATTGAGATTTCTCTCAATATATGAGGAGTTTTCTTATAGAACTAGGATCATTGGACTCAATGCCCTATTAGCCAAGTTAGGCGGCATCATATCGTTCCTTAAGATAAAGTAGCAAGCTTTGCAATAGTAGTCACAAAAACCGTACAAGAGCTTAACTACCGGTAGATAATATCTCATAATATACAGGGAATCTTGAGCCCAAATTTTTTCAAGATGTGTGTCATAGTCCCCACCAAAAGATTATTATATCCCTAGGGTGTATAAAACCATGTCGTGGAAGTGATTATACCC